CCTCTTTGGTATCTCAACAAATTTTATTAAAAAATTAATTTTGGTTTTAATTTTGATTTATTTTTTAACGAATACCTCTCATTATAGATCTCAATGGAGATGCTCAGGTTTAACTAAGTCTAGACTTATGTAGGGTTTAGCTCAAGCCTCAAGGTTAGGTTGGCTATGAAGAGTCTATGTAATAAAGTCCGGTCATTTCTTTTGTTTCCAATACATTCATTTTAGGACGCGGTCCCAAAATTATTTTTGTCAACATCTCTTTGTATCGATTTACATTGCTCATTCGATCATATTATATTTTCTCATCGCTAGTTATCCTAAGCCTGCTGGAAAACCGGTTTTATGGTTTTTTAATTTATAAATGGAAATAAAAAAATTTCATTTGTTCTAAACATAAATTTTGTATCACGAAATGGTGTATATATATAACTTGACTCTAACTATCTAGCTTGGCAGATCGTTCAGACTCATACATAATACTTGCATATCTTTAATCATATATGTAAATAATTCACGTGATTGTTGTTGGTAGGAGCATGTACGTACGTGTTTTAATTTTTTTTTCTTAATGTACTATACATCGATTGTGACATTTTTTTCCTAACCTACCACAATTCTTTTGCGCCACACATCTTACTTACCACCACCTCCTTCATTTTTTGATATCTCTCAGACTCTCATCATGATTTCGATTTTGACCGTTTGGTCATCCATTTTCTTTTTAAGGCAATAATTCAATATACCGGCATGGTACAAATTGCTACACGACTCTATAAGCATATGGTTGGTTAGCTTAACGGAGACTGGTGCATTTCTTTGCGTTAGTTCCAACGAAACTAAACTGTTACTACATTAAATGTAGCTCACATGTCGATAAAAGGGCTCTTAATACCAATGTTAATGATATATCGTACTTGGCTAAAAAGAGCATTAAATTTATTAATAAACGACGACGACGACAAGGCTTTGGAATTACCGAATTATGAGCTCTATCTTCTCTTATCTCTCCATATTGAAAGCTATTTTTTTCTTCTTCTTATGAGCTCTATCTTCTCTAATCTCTCCATTATGAGCTCTATCTTCTCTAAAACCATATTGGAATTATGAGACCAGTGGGTCGAATCCTGCTAATCTCATTATTAATTCATATCACCTTAATTGAACTCTTAACTTCGCGTATAAGATTTTCTTTGTTTTTCGTCGGCTAATTGATAATAGTCGGCTAATTGGTACTAGTACCGACTATTATTAAACACTACTTAAACTTCAGATTTTTTTGTTGAGTTTGCATGGTACAGATTATACCACAGCTGCACATCTAACGAAACTACAACGCATAAATCAAATAAAAAATAATTTTCCCAGTTTAGCAACACAACAAAATTCATTAATATTTCTATGAATATTTTAAAAGATTATAAGTCTTTCAAAAGTTGAAAAAATCATACCAAAATTTCTCAAATGAAGGATATTGATGTAGATATCTTAACGTTTTGAAAACCCCATATAATATTTTAATTGTCTAAGACACCAAAGTATGAACATGCTAACATTTTTTTAAGAAAGATAAGCATCTCCAATGAGGAATTGTTATTTATGAAAAACCTTTAAAAAACCCATCGTCAAGACACATGTTTTTTTTTATCATTGGTTTAAAATTTTTAGTGCTAAAATCAAATTAACAATACTTTAGAATGCTAATTAAATAGTTTGTGTATTGTTATTATTTTTTATTTTTTATTAATAAATCATAAAATAAAATTATATATCTATCAAGTTTCATTATAATTTATACCTAAGTTTAATATATATAAATATATAATATTTAAAATTAAAATTAATTAAAGTTAATAAAATAATTTTAATATGAAATTAGTATTATTTTAGCTGATATAATAATAAAAATAAATTAGAAAATAAATATGAGATTTGAAAAGTACAACTTATATTTTGAAATTTTCGAAAATC